CTTAGTTCACAAGCATTCTAATGGAACTTGCCATCGAAAGAACAAAACTGAAACTGGCACCTAACTTGAATGAGTGAGGCACAGCTGGGTTACTGGCGACCTAGTCAGCTGTCCTCAAAGAGTGGAGGTAGCTGAGCAGTTTAAATCAACTACCTGTAATAATATGGATAAAAGATATTACTATTTTAATTCAAAGAAAAAACAAAAAAATCCTCCTTCCACCTAAAAAGATTCAGACTTCTTGCCACCAGAAATACTCAAGAAAAGGAAATGCAGAGAAGTTGGACTTAGCAGCCCTATTTGGCTCCTGCGCATCCAAGTGGCTGCTCTAAGTAAAAAAATAATACAAAAGCAAGCAGCAAAATGGAGAGACTATAAGCCATATAGTCAACTCCCAAGTTTATGAGAGTTGATCACCCAGACCTGAGATGTGATGGTTTCTGTTTTTTTTACCAACTGTAGTGCGAGATGCATTAATTTAAGAAGCTGTGTTGAGTACTCCAGAAAAACGTCCTGATGAGCCTTTCTACAGAGAAATTTTATAGAATTAAATACTATTGAACCTACCAAGCCAGACTACAACTAAACTTACGCAACTCTATCAACTGCAGGTGGCCCCAGAAAGTTCAACATAGAAACTACGATAAATATATACTTGTTATATATTAAGAATTTTATTTTAAATATCAGCATTTTTAAGTTGCCATTTTTGAAGCAATTTCTTTGGGTAAAATGTATAATAATACTCTACACCATCCCCTAGAAGACCATTCATCATACCTGAATGAAGGGAACAGCCCATTTACTAACACCAGCTGGACATCGGAGAATGTGGTTTAGAAGGAAGAGGTGATCTCCAGGACAGCCAACTCTTTGTAGCACTGATACCTGAGCAACAATAGACAGATGAGCTCACAATTTTTATAAAAAGGAAAATTTACCTCGGGGGCTAGTAAACTCATTTAGCTAATGTTTTAAATACACAAAATCTTTTAGAGCAGTGATTCTCAATCTTCCTAATGCTGTGACCCTTTAACACAGTTCCTGTGGGTCGCGACCCACAGGTTGAGAACCGCTGTTTTAGTCATCGAATACTAGATACATGTATTATTTACCAGACGTATTTCTACTAAAGGGGCACACAGAGTCTTATGAATCTATGAGTACTTATCATAAGATAGGAAGAGGTTTCTTTCTCTGCAAATCTAACTTTTATTTTCTGGAAAATTACTAATCCTTCGTATCCCTGGCCACAAATGAATAGACCCAAGTAATTTATTTTTAATTAGTGATAGTCTCTTAGGGCCAAATAAGCATGCTGGAAGTATCACCCTATATTTAAGAACTCTAATGTGAACCTTTAAAAAGCATGCAAGGCAGGCCCACTGAGAAACATAACCACCAATAAACCAATACTCCCCCATAACAAACCTAACACCTAAGTTTCTAGATCCTGATAGCTTTCTTCTAAAAAAATAAAAAAATAAAACATTTAAGTATGACTACATGCAACATTAAACATCAGATGACAAAAAGAATAGCACATGGAAAATGTTTAAGATACAGACTGAGTATCCCTTACCCAAAATGCGTGGGACCAGTGCAGTTCAGATTTTGGATGTTTTCAGATTTCGTAATATTTGCATATAACGAAATGTCTTTGAGATGGGACCCAAGTCTACACACAATGTTCATCTATGTTTCATATACACCTTATACACATAGCCGAAGGCTTGAAGGCTATTCTAAACAATATTTTTGAAATGTTGTGTATGAAACAAAGTTTGGGTTAAATTCTTACATGTAGAATTTTCTACTTGTGGAGTCATGTCAGAGTTCAAAAAGTTTGGGATTTTGAAGCATTTCACGTCTCAGATTTTGAAACTGGGAATGGTCAACCTGTCCCTAGTACTATTTGAATTTCCATTACACATCTAGCTTTCAATTTGGCATACTTCCCACATTTCCATTTCTTCCTAAGTTGAAGGCCAGAGTTCATTTACCATAGTATTTTTTGAAGAGAAAAGCACTTTGAGCTCAGTAACGCTCAAAGATTCCATACTACATCTATCATGATCAAAGTCACTAATTAACTCATTAAATGAATTAGCCAAAGAAGCTGTTGAAGAAATAATACGATGAAAAAAGAGATAATTCTTAAATTATTAAGAAAACAAAAGATAGGCTACCACATCTAATCATTTCCTTACCAATTTCTGCAGCCAGAGAAGAATATCATCATGGAACTGCTTATCTTCATTAACTCTCCGGGTGAACATGAATAAGACACTAATGCACTCCTTTAGTTGACACAGATCAGAGGGAATGCTTTCTGTCTGTTTAGAAGCTATAAATTAAACGGAGTATTAAATGAGTCCCTCACAAATGGTATTTTGGGGAGAATATTTTAATGCCTTTAACTTAAAACAAACAAAAATCCTTTGACATAGTTAAGATCAAAATACAAGAAGAAAAGTTGCATCAAACTATTTGAATTTCTACTAAACAGACAAACCAGAAAAGTATTTAACTTTGAAGTATTTCAAAGCAAAGGAAAATCAAGCTCATTATAATTCATTATTTTCTATTTGAAAATCAGCAGATCTGTGGCCTACTCACAGCTCTTTGATTAGTTAAGAAAACAATATGGAAGAGGAAGAAAATTTTTCTATAAAGCAGAGGTGTCCAATCTGCAGGCTGCAAGCTGATTTTGTGGGGATTTTTTTTTTTTTTT